AGACTCGACACAAGGGAGATTCTCTACTGATGGATATAAATATGGATAATAAAAATTTATAAATATTTATATAAATATAAATAAAGATGGAGGGGGCCGTGGAAAGTGGCCTCTAGGAGTGAAAAGCCAACAAGAACACAAGAGCTTCAGTCCTCTAACAACTAGGAACTGAATTCTACCAACAAATGAGTTCAGAAGTGGATTTTTTTGCAGAGCCTCTAGCCTGACCAGTACCTTGAGTGTGAGACTGAGCAGAGAACCCAGCTGAGCTACACCTGGACATCTGACCTACTGAACTGAAAGCTAATAAATGTGTATGGTTTGATGGCTATTTGTTATGCAGCAATAGGAAACTGACAAACTAGTACAATGGTATTCCAGTTAAACATAAGTTAGGAATTTTTTTTTAAATAATTTTTTTTTCTTGTCTCCTCTTTCCCTGACTTTCTCCAAAGCTTTGGTCTGTGTCCCCACTCAATAGTTATTTCATTGAACATAACTAGAAAATGCCATTTTGTCAGATTAAAATCTTCTCTTTTATCACTTATCAGAGCTATCTCTTTTTATCCCCCCTTGCAGTTAATATCAGAGACAGAGACATATTCAACTTGGATGTATTATACACACATTAAGGGCTGGAGAATCAAACCAGAAAAACAGATTCTGAGAATTAAGGCAAGCAATCTGTATATTTTGAAGTAACTCAGATATTTCATTCACTGTGACTAGTTATGCTGAAACACAGTAACCTTGACATAATGGTTGAAGAAAAAGGAGAAGCAATGTAAGCATCACTGTCTGAACATTTTAATATCTTTTATCAGTAAACATTGCTAGAATGCTACACATTTGGATTCATACCTTTTCTTAGGAAAACCTGAATCCTATCTCTGGCTTCCTGATACTGCAGCTGAATTCGATTACAGGGGTAGGCCACACTGTGAGAAGCATGCCTAAACTTTTTAAGCCACAAAACAAAGTTGATCTTTATTAATTAGCTGTTGAGATTATACAGACTGACCACTGTATTATTACAGATAACATGGTGAAAAACACTATTATGTGGTTTATTGATAGCTCCACCTATGTAATTTAGCTAAGTCTTATTTACTAAGATAGTCCATTAACCACAAAGGCAGGATTTGGTGTCAGGTAGAAATTCAGATCAAACCATGACTTTGTGGTTGCTGGCAGAAAGAAAGCTTTACAACAAAGGGAACGGACAATGCAGTACGATGTCTTTGTAACATTTAATTCAGGACAAATTTCATCTCCAGTGCAGCTTAACCTAGTGCTACTACATAACACAGACATAAGTGAAAGTATTTAACAAGTCAATGATTTTCTTCATAACTAAGACGCACCATTTAAAACACTCATATTCTCTGCCTTTGTAGAAGCCATGGAATTGGATAAGAGAGAAGCCACCTAATTTTAGATTTAAGCAAATGTGGGCAAAGGATTCTAGAATGAAGGATAAGTCTGAGGATCACAAACCCTCATATGAATAATGATCAGCTGTTTTAGTAAAGAACTAACGGAAAAAAAAATACTCAAAAGTCCACCATGTGAAAAAACTTCAAGATCTGGGGATCCAGGTAAATCATGACTTTGCTTTTATCAACTTTAACCAAAGTCTGCACAGGTGTTCAAGTCAGCACTAATGAAAAGCTATTAGAAAACTATTACGTTAAGTAATTATCATCTTTGCTTCAACTTCTTCTACCCGTGTCTGCGCCATTTATATAATTATGTTGAGAGAAAATACTCCAAGCTCAAAAGAAGTGAAGGACTTCAGTTTCTACCCACACGGACCTTGTCAGGTAGCCAATGACTTGTCCTTTCATTGTGAGTGACTAATATCAATGCTGGCTCTAAAGAAAGACACTTTTCATAATCGCCCAACAATCTGCTAAGTGAAAACATATGGATAGGCTTAGGCAAAGCCTGCCAGGGGTCTTTGCTGAATGGAAAACAGGTGCTTTCATTCTGTGCCACGTAATACCCCATTTACCCCCAAGTCCAAAGGTTACAGGACTAATAGCTGCCTTGTGGTAATCAGGGAAAGCCAAGACACTGGCTCTGGTGAAACATCTGGGACATATTTTACATACTTGCAACATATGCTTCAGGTTCAATTAAAGTGAGGCTTTGGCACATTTATTAATCTTTTTTACTTTTATCCTATAAGAGGACCCAGTGACCTGACCTCACTATTATACCATATGAGAAAACAGAGAAATAATGAGAGCTAGAGGTCACTACCTGCTCGTCTGGCAAAAAACACATTTGTTTTCTCATGAAATTCCATTATGCATGACTCTCTACACAAACTTTAAATAGAGGAACCAATGAATTTTTTAAAGTAGGAAATTACCCTTCTCCTACTCAGACACACTGATAGCCAAGACTTAGAACATTCACCACCGTGAGAGCCAGTCACGAGACAGACGCCGATAAATGGAAACTTGAAGGATCCTTTCATATTTCCATTTCTTGTAGTAACAACTTTTTATTGCTAGAGTCCATGTTAAGATTCTTCCCTCTACTATGCAAGTCCCTAAAAGTCTATTGTAAATTATTCCACTGGAGATTTTCTTTTTGTTCAGGTATGAGTTTTATATTCTCAATTGCATTATGAGTGAAAGAAAGAAAAATCTTCTAAATCACTCAAATTAAGGGGTGGATTAATGAAAATCAGCTTACAATCCTTTCATATGGAAAACACACTGTTTGTCACCATCCTGTACAGAAAAATACAGCTGAATTCACACAGCAATTTAAGCACTCGCCTTCAATCAACTTTGGTAACTAGATCTGAAAATGTATTTGAACTAGGGTGTCAATTTCAGGCAACCAAACCGTGGATCCCAATAGATACCGCTCCAGAGATGTGGGATTGTTTCCACTCCGGCATGATCTACCTGACATCTATGTTTTGGTGAGCTGGTTAACCAACCGTGCTGTTGGTTTCCCACTCCTAACATCTTCTCTATTAAAAATGACCAGAAAGGAAGATAAACGGTATAGAGTATCAACCAACTAGCTAAAAAAATACAGGCTGACGTCAAGCAGGGGCACTGAAGTACTAGACTTCACTAAGAGTTTCCATTTTTTAACATTTCTGGGGAAACGCCTGCTGCTAGAATGGCTCTTTATGGTGGCTTTAATAATAAAGCAGCAACAAGCAAGGGAAAATGGCCATAAATGGATGGCAGCTCCGTGTTTATCAGCAGAGAAATGATGATTCAGAGCTGGCATGTTGAGTTAAAATACCAGCTCTCTACAGCTCTACAACTGACCTTAACAATAAATCATATCATTTATTGCCAGAAGTGTATGCCCATGTTATTCAGCATTAAAAACAAGCACATATGTGTTTTTGCAGGAAGATTTTGTTAGTTTATGTTTGTGATGTTGCTAATGACTAAATGTTGTTCAGCAGAAAAATTCCACATAAAAGCTCTATCAGTTTAAAAATGTTTGAAATAGCAGAAGGGAGAAAGTGTGTGTGTGTGTGTGTGTGTGTGTGTGTGTGTGTGGTGTCCATGTATTTCTATTTTCCTTCTAGCACTGAATATTAGTTAGGAAAAAACTCATTTGGGAGGTTAACTAATCACTGTGAGGTTGTTTTGTTTTCTTTTGTTTGACATTCCCAATGCTTAACTTCCAGCACACAAATTCTTACACTAGGATATAAGTGTACACCTCTACTGGAATCAAAGGTCAAGGGCATAAATTAAGATATGCTATTTTTCTCTTTTCTTCAGAAGATTTCAGCAGTTTACTATAACGGAAGTCAGATAGATTCTGTAAGGTCAGAATCTGGTTTTATACGCTGAACAACGTGGAAATAATGAATGATAGTCTCACTCTTTCTTCCCAATCTCACCTTAAGACTTTAAGATTTTACATCTAGAAATGCCAAGAGATAAGGGATAAATTGGAAGTTCGAGATTCGCAGATACAAACTAATACATATAAAGTAGATAAACAACAAGCTCATACTATATAGCACAGGGAACTATATTCAATATCTTGTAGTAACTTACAGTGAAAAAGAATACGAAAATGAATATACATATGTTCATGTATGACTGAAGTATTGTGCTATACACCAGAAACTGACACAACATTGTTAACTGCACTTCAAAATATATATATGTGCATGTGTGTGTATGTATGTATGTGTGTGTGTGTGTGTATATATATATATATATATATATATATATACACACAAGAAACAATAAATGCCCGAAGATGATGACAAACCAGCCTCACTAACCTCCTTGCGATAGAAAGCTATTCTTCTGACCCCAGCCTCTGCCGCAGTGATGCAAGGTCATTCTGATTCCTCCCTCCAGTGGTCCCCTCTCCCCAGGGGACAACCAATACAAGTAGTCTCAGAAACTAGCTGTTGTGTACTGTGGGCACCATCTCCGAGCCAACCAGCAATTGAAATACGAGCCTCTTTGAGCAGACTTTCCTGACCAAGGAGCCACAGGACCATCCCAAGTCTAGGCGATTATTTAAATGCCTACCGGAACCCTCCGCACATGTGTTCTTTTGCTGAGCAATTCTTGGAAAATTACAGGTGACAATATCCATGTTCAGCTCATGCAGGCTGCCGTTTTTTTCACTTCTCTCTTCCCCCAAAGTGTAGCCTGATTTGTAATACTCATGATAGGACAAATTTTTGCCCTTCAAAAACAGTTGTCACTGCTGTTATCTTCACAAGAGCTATCAAGTTCCAGACAAGCTGAATTATTTTTTTTGTTCCTGGCAGAAAAATATTTGACCCAGCTCTGGACAAAAGCGAAGACGATTTATAGTCCTCTCTCCCTCTTTGCAACATGCAGTGGCATTGTTAGGATGATAAACAGCACTGTCCAATTTTCTGGACTCAAACACTTCAACTCCTTTTTTAACTGTCTGTGAAAACAGTGTCATGTCTACATTTCCCCATCCCCAGGTACCCAAGTGCTGGGAAAGATAATTACCTTGTCATCTTTGTCATCTTCTTCTTCCTCGTCCTCTAGCATGTCCTCCACTACCTGCAGACAGAAACAGAAGTCGTTTTCGCGCTCTTAAAGGAGAGAATTTTGTTCTGTCATTTTGAACCTTTTGGAAATGAAAACTTTATTAACATTTGAAACAGATGCACTGAGAGGAAATATTTGATCTAGAGATAAGGATTAGGAAAATGCTATGCCTTTAATTGATTAACACCAGGGAACCAAATCGCAGTCAGGAGAACCCTATTTGTGTGAAATGTTCTGTGACAACTTAAAGAATGTGAAATATGCATAAGGTAAACTAACATTAATTTGAAGGATGCTTTAAATCAGGAGATTTCTTTTTGACCTACTCCACTGTCTATATTAATTAGGCACTTTAAGTTTAGAGCTAGATAACTAAGCAGAAAACAGCTCTGCTATTTCTAATTTACTTGTCACCCAACCCTGAGATAAAAAACTATGTCTGTTCATTGTTTCATGCTGGTGATCTATGGCATAAAACTAACAATGTCTTTCACAGCTCCAGTTTTAATTCTGATATATAAATGTCAACTCTTGAGTATTTCTGAATTACTTGTGGATTTTGTGGACTACCTGAAACTCTATTTTAATTTTCTGTGATTTTTATGCATGAATTACATTACGAGAATGGACATTATTGAAAGAAAATTAGAAATATATTCAACAATCAACTGTGTGTAATATGTGTAACTAACCCATGTAGGTACATAACACATGCATGTATTTTTTTACCTCCTGGTTTACCTACTTCAGCAGAAATGGACAAGTGATTTTGGATTCGTCAAATAATTTCCCCTTGCCTGAATCAATATATACCCACAGGCATTATAAATGAGACTTCACCCTGTTTCTGGTGTTTTATTATGTTTTTATATACATATACACTAAATGGAAAACCAAAAACTTTTTAAACTTTGAGGGGAGTTGTTATTCAGGTAAATGCCAACTTATGATAGTATTTCTGCCACTTGATATAATTTCTAATTCTTGTGGTGCTTTTTATCTTTGTTTCCAGTATCTTTATCTCTGAATATACTCAATAGCATCGTGGTTATCGAATATTTTTAAACCTTTCCCCTAAAGCTCATACCTTTAGAATACAGAGATAGCTACCCCCTCTTTCACGTGGCTTTATGACAGAGACAGAAATATGCTATGAAAGAAAACTTTCATATCTAAGACTTTTACAAAGAGTTACATAACCAAATCAACACATCAGGACTCTCAGTTATTCTAAGAATTTTTCTCAACTATTCTAAAAGCATTAACTGATTTTAAAACAACAGCCCAAACACAAATCTCTAGTTCTCATGAACTGATATATAACTAAAAGCAACTGACAACCTGGAAGATTTTTCTTAATTTAATGTCACACTTTAAATATTCTATTAAATGGTAGTATCTTGTGGTCTTTCAGACATTCAGCATTGCCAAAGAACCACAGTGACACAATGCACTGTTTCCAATATCAAGTGAGAGTTTACATTTATTTTGGGGGCATATAAAGCAATCCAGTCTCAGCAAGAAAGAAGGACTCTTGACATTCTAACTATATTCAGCCAGTCCATGAGCATTTATGACAAACACCCTTGTCAAGGCACACAGTGGGAGGGACTGTGGGAATATAAAGATGGGCAACACAGAGATACTTCATCTGTAGTCATGTCAGCCCTCAAGAGGCTTATAATCCAATAGAATTTAAATGGGGGCTATCAGATAGTCTTTCATGTTGACTTTTAATTTCCTGAAATTTTGAAGCACCCGTATTATATAGACAACAACAGTGACAATGTATAACTGAGGCCAGGCTGTTCCACATTGGGCTCTTTGTGATGGGGGTTTAAAGAGGAAAAGCAGTCACAATATTTCAGTACATTGTGTGACATCAAAAACATTCACCTGACACAGCAAGTAACTAAACTAGAACTCAAACCCAGACTGTGGGATAGCAGAGAGCCAGCTCTCAAACCCTGCCCAGCTCTAAACCAAAAACAAAACAAAACAAAACAAAAAAGGGAAAAAAAGGAAAAGAAAAACAGACGAACAAAGAATTGACCTCACATGATTTTTTAAAATGATTATAATTTTGTATCTCTAATAAAATGATGTTTACAATTTTAGATTTATATTAAGTAATTTTTCAAAGGTTGGTCATTATCACCTATTTTTAAAAAATAAAAATTATACCTATTGAGCCATACAACATGATGATTTCATGTCTTAGATTAAGTGCTTTTTTCCCTAAAATTATGCAGAATCATATAGCAAATGTGGAAAATGAAATTATTATAATTTTATTCCTGTACATAAAGTCAAACAATATTTTAGCTGGCTATTAAGAACAGATTATATGCCTCCCTCTTCAGTACGTACCATCATCGTGCAGGTGCAAGGCAGGCTGCGTGGTACTGGATTGTGCCTAGCAGTTGTAAGGTACATAATAGGTGTTCAAGAAGTTTTGTTGAGAGAGTGAACAGAGGAATACATGACCTGTTCTTCCTATCTTCAGATACACTTTTTGGTAGAGGGAGGGCCTATTATTTATCCCACAGAAATGAACTAGCTCACCCAGAAAGACTTATACTTAATCAATGATGCAGATAAATGAAAGTAAATATTCAAAATGCTTTCAAAGATTTGCCTGGCAATAGAAAGTTAATTTTCAAAAGTTAATTTTCAAAAGTTCAAAATATTACTGAACCATAAAACAAACCAATAGCTTATTTTACACATTTCACAAATCAGCTGAAGATCTTACGTTCAAGAACAGCTCAAAGAGGTCTCCAGAATCAAGCTCTTCATTTGCAAAACCTAAACTGTTCCCACCCTGCACAAGTGGGTAATTGGCTATGCACAATTGCTCCACAAATGTGCGGGCAGAACCACCCAACACAACCATTTGCTTTTACATTTGGCAGAAAAGTGTTGTGTTAGCGAGAGGCCTTTGTGTTGCGTTTTAGCACCCGAGTGAGGGCTTTTCCCCTCCTCCAGTGCCTTTTTAATGTTACATCATAAACATCTACAAGGGAGGATTTATAATTCAGACGGTTTCCTACTACTTTAAGCTGCTCCAGAATGCATCCCACGATCAAGTTTTGCTCAGGTGAAGTTTAAGGTGCCTTGGAAAATGGAGACAATAATAGCATCTGTCCCACAGTGTTGATTAGAGATCCAAAGAGAGAGTGTATTTAAAGAGCTCAGCCCAGTGCCTGTGTCAAAGTAAGGACTCAAAAATGTGAGCGATTAATGAAAAAAAAATGACTTGCATTTAAAATATTTTAAACTTTAATTTTTAGAAATTAAATGCTATAGTTTTTTCCTGGACAAAATACTCAGTGTTCGGAATGACATACACAATTGTGATTCATGTTTCACTGACACTAAAAAATACATAAAGGAGCAAGGTAGAGGCGTGGATAAAGATTCCTAATTAAAATGATAACGGTTTCACAACTAATTTTCAGGTTTTAAAAATGGTGCAATGAAATGGATGGCAAATAAAGGGAAGAGTGTCTCAGAAGCTCTAAGACATGAGTCCTGGCCAAATGCAATGAGTATACATATTGCAAACTGAGCTTTTAAAAACAAACTGTATGTATATATCACTGAAGTACATTTAATGACTACACAAAATTGCAACCTTTCCCAGAGAACTCAAGTAACACCTACTATTTAGAAAAAGAGTGCTGGAGTTTAACACTTAACTAAGGAAAACAAATAAAAGAAAGGAATCCAGTCTCAAATTCCAGCTCTTTCCTCTTCAAATAAAACCACATAAAGGCTACATAGTTTTGTTTTCAAGTATACAAAGTCCAGTTGCCCAAACATTTGTCAGCAATAATTTCATAATTTCATAAATCTATAGGATTTCCTTGAGGAAAAAAAAATGAAGAGTGATGAAAAAATGCATGTGTTAGAAAAGATATATTTTTACAAAGTTGGCTTTTCCCCCCTTTTTTCTTTAGGGGAATATCTTAGATTGGCTCTGGAATTCTTTTTCCAAATTATGCTTTCTGATACCTTGCTTGAAAGCAAGTAGTATTAATCAAACAAAGGAAGGGCACCAGGGAAATCAGAAAGATGTAATGCAAGCAGTTAAAAGTGACATGACCTTCTGTAATGTCGCTCGTCACAGACTTATATGCCACACACTGGAGGAAGGTCTTGAAAGAAACTGATTCTTAGTACTATTTCTTGAATGTAATACTAATAAAGATGGCATTTAAAAAAACACACGTAGACAGCCCCAAATGCAGCATGCCAGCTATATTACAGCCAAATAACAAGCAGGTAGCATTATTTTAAAAAGCATAATATTTCTTCTTTCATGTTCCATATTTGCTGAACATTTGTCATTAATACATAAAATACAATAGGTGGCTGTGTATTTTAAAGGTCCATTTTCAAAATGGAGCCAAACTGTATCTGTAGAATCGTTACATTTTGTGCAGTTGTATAGATGCTCTATTAATATGATGACTTTTAATTACAATTCAACTCAACTAAATACTTTGTTTTGCAAGGAAATAAAATTTCATTTGGCCAAAATGTTAAAAATGATGTTGGTCATTTGCATGAAAATATGGCAACATGTTTAGAATCATTCCACTAGGCAAGGATATATAAGGGAGGGGACTAGAAGGATGCAGAAAAGAAAGACCAAAACAGTGAAAGGATGAGGAAAAGTGGATTCAAGTCACTTCATTATTAAAATCATCATGGGACAGTGGATGCTAAGTATTGCTTTTTAGTATCAACTTAGGGTGCATGTTTTAAAGCTAAAATGACAAAAAGGGGTAGTATATATATATATATATATATAT